TCACACTATCATGCTCTAGAAAAATGTTCTTACAGAAGAACTGTCATGTGGGTAGAAACTGCATCTGATTGTGTTTCTGCAGATTCCACCATGCTGTTTTAGGCCATCCCATCAGAAAGCCAATGTGATATCCTTTCACTAGGAGCATCCATTCAGCAACATCACATCAACATGCAGCCGGTCATTCTGTGTCCAAAATCAAACAATGTCCCTTGGCTCCTGATTTTTTCTCTTGTAAAATGCACTCATCTTGTTGTTGAATATATTCTTTAGGTCTGCTGTGTCCTTGCTCCTAAGTTGCAAACAGAGTCACATCACTTGATGGATGACGTGTGTTCTAATGAATGCATCTTTAAGCAATTAGGCAATCACTATGTAAGCATCAAAGCATTACTTACACAATAATATGGCTGCCACATCATTAGGCAATATAATCTTATGTAAACTTTGACAGACAATGGCCCATTGTTGACCAAATCATCATTATGCGACACAACTTAACGTGGTTTTTTGCCCCTCTTTTTCCTAGTTGATAAAGTGAGTTGTGTGGGAATAGTGATGATTTGAGATCTTCCATGTCCCATCCATGTGGCATTCCAGCTCAGAGGTCTTTAGGTGAGGAATTTAGAGACCAATTTGTCATGAGCTGTTATGAAGAAACTTAACTATAAACCCAATTAAATTGTGTGGATAATATTGGGCAGATCAAACCAGTAAATGAAGTTATATAGAGTTTGTTTTCATAGACAGATACTGGGTCTTAAGTGAAAATGGTCTGGCAGCAGCACACACATCATGAAAGTAATTTCGTAGCAAATATAAAGAGTTATATTTGCTATAATGTAAATATCTGGTCACTACCAAAGATGAGGGTGAGAGACAAGTGTAAAAAATATATTTATGCTTGTGCAACAAAATAATTCAGTCATGAGCTTTTGCCATTTCTTGCTTACTTGATGCTTGTCCTTGAAAGACACGGAGAGAAAGCTACTTTCTCATATTTCCTTTTAAGATTTGCCATTCAGAAATTTCTACAGTTACTTTTTTTTTTTTTTGAGGGGGGAGGAGAAACTGAATATTTAAACCAGGAGGGCTATTCTCACTTTTTCATAACTTTATTACTTCTAGAGCATTCAACTTCTACCTTTTATTCTAAGTTAATCTCATAGTTGATATTAGAGAAAAGTACATCTTTGGTTGTTTATGATACCATAAATAACTGCATATTTCTTTAGGATTTTTTTTTAGAAATCTCTTTAAGCTCTGGACACAGAGAAAATCTTGAGCAACAATGTTTCTTACATCTTAAGATTTTTTTTTTGGTACCGGGGATCCAACTCGGGATCTCGTGCTTGCGAGGCAGGTGGCAGAATCACTGAGAGCTAAATCTCCGGCCCCTTAGATTTGTTAAAGAAACTTGAGATGAAGTAAGGAGTCCAGCAGGGAAACTGGGTCCCCTGAGGCCATATCCAATAAAAGAATTGTTATTTGAAATAAGAAAAGGTCCAAGGGTTTGGGGATGGTGGAAGGGAAAGGGGAAAGGGAAGAAGGGAAAGAAAAAATTATGAGAAAAACAATGGAATCAAACTCTGTGTAAATAGGGAAGGGTGGAGGGGGTGAAGGGTGCACAGGTAATGGGAGAAAAAATATTTATATATTAACTATATATAGTTATATATATAGTTGCATAGTTGTATATATATATACACTTATGATAGTGTCTAGCTATGTATTCCAGGCTGGTCTCCAACTCATGGCGATCCTCCTGCCTCAGCCTCTTGAGTGCTGGGGATTATAGGAAGGTACCACCACACCCCATTGCCTTGAAACAGTATTGAAAGTTCATGTATGACAGTGGTCCTATAAGGTTGTATCACCTATTGCGTGTGGTAAGAACTCTGATAATTCTCATTGTAAATTCACTTCCACCTAAAAACATGTTTCTCACAACATATCCCCACTGTTAAGCAGCACAACTTTATTAATACACATGTTGCTATGCTATACAACCCATCTCATCTTACCTGCCTGGCTTTATCTCCTACTACAATGATCTTATCTCAAAACTCTGACAGTCTCTATCTGTGCATTCTGAAGTAGCATAATTATTCAATTCTGTTCCTAAATACTTCTTTTTGCTTGTTTTGGTTTGAGACAGGGTCTCCCTATGAGGTTCAGGCTGGCCTTAAACTCACAGCAATCCTTCTGCCTCAGCCTCCTGAGTGCTGGGATGACAGGAGTACACCACCACCCCAGCTTTTTCCTAACTACTCTTAGTAGTAGCCTTTTGTAACACCATGCATCCCCCTTTGTGTGGCTCTCATCCCCTCCCTGGAGCCTCCTCAACAGATTAACTCTAACAATAGTTCCTTGTTATTTAGACCTCTCCCCCTGGACCTGTATTCAGCTAAGGATGGGACTACGTCTCAATGATTTCTATCTTCCCACTAATCTAATGAACTGATATTCATCCTATATACAGTAGGTTCCCTAGAGGGGGAAAATGCCTGAGTGGATTGGAAGTTATCCAAATGTTGTTACACAAGACATGGATGAGGCCTGCTGGAGAGGCCACAGGCATTGAGCACAGAAAGACAGGCTTAGAGGGAATGAGAAGGGCCCTCCGGGGAGGCTGTGGAAGATACTGTCTATCCTGAGAACTCGGGGAACCCTGGCCCTACTATGGATAGTAACTATGGATAGTAACTCATTACATCTTTACTTACTATGGATGGTAACTCATTACATCTTTGGCCCTAACTGATGTGATAAAGGAACTGGGCACAGAGGGAGCCTCCAAGTGCAATTCTCAAGGCTTCTAATTAGAGAAACAGCCCTATTTGACTTGATGGAAAGAGAAAGTATCTCTTCCCTCTAGGCCCAACCTCCAGGGCAAACATCCTATTTTCTAACCCTAAGCAAGAACCAGTAAGTGATTACTATTTCTTCACTAATGAGTCCAGGAAAACTTTTGACCAAACCCTCGGGGGAATCAAGCACTTTGGCTCAGGGGTTTGTGCCACTGCTGCTGGACACAGAGCAAAAGCCTGCAAGTGCACAGGAAGGGTCCCAGGCTTTAGGAAGACACGTGGAAGCCCCTGACCAATCACCTGTCCACCATGCACTCTGAGCCCAGCTGACAGACATGAAATGAGCTAAGAGTCAAAGTAAGCCAACCGTCCTAGTGAGCTCCTAACACTCTTGTCCCAGTTCCCATCTTAGTAGGCTTTCCAGCCATCTCTACCTCTGCTCAAGGGAAATGACTGCCATCCAGAGGAGCTAGGAAGGATAGTCTGGATCTGCAAGCTCCTTGGGTGAGGTAAAGAAACTACTAAAAATTATGATCACAAACGTTAGCTAAGGTATTCGTCAAGACCCAAGGTCAAAATTTCTGTCTTTAGGAAGCAGACTGACAGATTCTCAAGATGTAACTGGATGGATTTACGCATCAGCTTTTATTCTCAAATCAGTAAAATAGCAGTGGATTAAAGACAGTGGCCCTCATGTTGCTTAAACTGAAGGATTTTCTTGGGTAAAAGATTAAGATCTTGGCCAGTTGTGTTGGGTCATGCCTGTAAATCTAACTAATTGGGAAGTTGAGGCAGAATGGCCTCAAGTTTGAAGCCAGCTTGGGTAACTCAGCAGACTGTCTAAATAAGTATAAAAGTATAAAAGTATGAATGAATGAAGGAAGGAATGAATGAATTGGCCCAGGAAGTAACTCAGTGATATAGCACTTGCCTACTGTGACTGAGCTTCTGGATTCAGTCCCCAAATCCATAAAAACATGAAAGATTAAAATCTTGGAAATTAAACCAGATAGAAGGGAATGGATTTAGTGGTCTAAAAATACACACTCAACTGCCCTTGAAAACAAGAATATAAAAGCCTAAAGTCTACCCAGGTGTGGTGGTGCATACCTATAATCCCAGCACTTGAGAGGCTGAAGCAGGAGGATGGCCATGAGTCTGAGGCCAACCCTGGCTACACAGTAGCTCAAGGCCAGCCTGAAAAACATAGCAAAGCCTTGTCAGAAAGAGAGAGAGAGAGGAGGAGGAGGAGGAGGGAGGGAGGGAGGGAAGGAAGGTGAAAGGGGGAGGGGAGAGTAAGAAAAGGGCTAAGGATGCAGCCTGGCGGTACTGCACTTCTGGGCTCTATCCCCAGTGCAAGAAAAAAAAAAAAAAGAAGTATTCAAAAATATGTTAGGCCTCTACATTTAGGTAGCAGTTATCTGAAATCACAGATGACCAGGTTTAAGGGTTCTAGACAGCATCCAGCTTCTTAGCACTGGTAAATAAAGCAAACAGATACACAATGAAATATCCATAGCACCTTAACAAGTAATCAGTTTGTTTTTTTCTCCTATAATAGGAAGTCTGGAAGTAATGAATCCACAGTTAATGCAGATACTCCAAGAAGCCACAGGGGAGGTCAGAATCAGCAGACTTTGTGGCAGTGTCCTCCTCAGTCCGTGGCTTTCATCCTCACGGCCACAACAGGGACCTTGTAATACAGTACCAGGGATTGGGTCCTTGCAAGGTGAGACAGAGGGAAAAAGAGTAAAGAATACAATGTGGAGAAACATCCAGGTGGGGAGGACCCCTGTTCAAGAGCATTTTCTCAGACAGCCACACAGTGACCTCTAATTTGTCAGTATGACTGGTGGTATGTGATGTGGACAGCAGTCACTGCAAGAAAACCTGTGAGAGGTTTTGAAAAACAGCACACCTAATGACCCAACAGGACATGGGTTCTTCTGTTATGAAAGATGACAGTGGACACATGGAATCAACTAGAAGCGTATGCTACCCATGGCTGGAAGGCAGGCCACAAACACACCGGAGGGTCCAGGCAACAGAGATGTCATGCTTTGATCACAACACGTTCCATTCAGACAGCAATAACAGGTACTGAGAAACACCCACACTGCCCAGCACCTAACACAATCCTGAATAGGCTGTCGGTCACTTAAGTTACCCAAAACGAAATGAAGACATGTCAAGAATAAAGATCTAGTAAAAATATTATATACACATCTTTTGTGATGAGCCCTAAACATTACTGAGAGTAGCATAATGTTCAAAATAAAAGGAAAAATTATTGTGCTGGGGTCTGTTTTCATGATCAAAGACTGTGAACTCTGGAGAACACCATGGGGTTTCTCTCCCAGTGAGATCCAAACACACACAGGAGAGGGGATGGTGGCAGGGACCCTTTCCACACAGGGGTCACCAGCAGGCTATGTCTCACATTTCCCGAAAGAATTTGCTAATTTCAAGCTTTTAAAATGAATTTCTCCCAATAGGACTGCCCCAGAGAATCACAGAGACTGAAGGGTCACTGCAGTGCTAACTGAGGAGGAGCCGGGATCCTTCTGCACCTCAGGGAGACTGACATTTTAGGACACACGCCTCAGGATGACAGGCTCCTGTGGATGGCAGGAAATTCGGCAGCACCCTGATGTCCTGCTGGTACATGGCAGCACCTCTCCCCTGTTCTTCGCCCAAAACTGTCTCCTGCTGTTGCCAAGTCTCCCTTGGGTGGCAAAACTGCCCCCAGGTGAGAACCCTGCTGCAGACCAAGGCTCGGCAAAGCTGCTCTGTCGATAGCAAGTGTCTTAGGATTTAAGGGTCATATCTAGTACGTGCTTCCTCTTTGAAAATGGAATGGCTATGCTTAGCTCGAAAACAGTACAAAGTCAGGCAGGTGGACACGGCCTGCACCCTGCTTTTGTGGACTTCTCCACTTCACAGAGTTCTCTCTGGTGATTTCACTCATGAGGATCACAGGGAGACCAAAGAAAGGCTTCCCCAGAGGGCGCTCTGAGAGATTCTCTCTGGTGTGCCCAGAAGGAGAAAAGCACTCAAGTTATTCTGACAGCCAATGCCAAGCTGGGGTTTCTCTCCCCAAGTTCTCCCGTGTTTAAGAGCCTGATGTACCCAAAGGCGACTCCATGGCAGATACATATCCTCTTGCTCCGCGTCAGTTCCGAATAGATCTCCCACAAGAAGTAGCTCAGTTCCTATACTTTGCACAAGCTGGATTTCTAAATTCCATGTGCCCCTTGTTTTATTTTGTTTGAGACAAGATCTTGCTATGTAAACCAGGCTGGCCTCAAACTCACAGTCCTCCTGCTTCGGCCACCCGAGTGCTGGTGTCACAGGCGTTTGTCAGCACGTCCAGCTCCATGAAGCGTCCCACCTGTCTCTCGCCTCTGAAGCTTTCTTTGGGTCTGTGTGCTCACTGCAGCCTCCTCCACACGGAGGAGGTGAAGAGCTTCTCCCCGCGGTGGGTTTTCACGTGACTGCGCAGGGAGGAGTGGTCGCTGAAGGCCTTCCCACAGGCCAGGCACTCGTAGGGCTTCTCGCCCGTGTGGATCCGCCGGTGCACGTTGAGGTTGGAGCCGATGCTGAAGGCCTTGCCACAGTGGTCACACTCGTAGGGCTTCTCCCCCGTGTGGCTCCGCATGTGCGTCTTGAGCGTGGACTGGTTGCGGAAGGCCTTGCCGCACTGCCGGCACTCCACGCGCTTCTTCACCAGGTGCACGCTCATGTGCCTCCTGCGGGACAGGTAGTCGCCGAAGACCTTGCCGCAGGCCGCACACTCATAGCGCCGCTCCTGCGTGTGGATCTTCCGGTGCGCGGTGAGGTTGGAGCTGGCGCTGAAGGCCTTGCCGCACAGGTCGCAGGCGTAGGGCTTCTCGCCGGTGTGCGAGTTCATGTGGGTCTTCAGGATGGACTGGTTGCGGAAGGCCTTCCCGCACTGGCGGCACTCCACGGGCTTCCTCACCAGGTGAGTCCGCGTGTGCTTCCGGCGCGACACCAGGTCCCCGAAGGCCTTGCCGCACTCCTTGCAGGCGTAGGTCTTCTGCACGGCGTGGTTCTTCTTGTGCAGGTTGAAGTTGGACTTCCAGCGGAAGGCCTTGCCGCACAACGCGCAGGCGTAGGGCTTCTCCCCGGTGTGGTTGCGCACGTGCTCCTTCAGGTGCGAGGGGTGCTGGAAGGCCTTGCCGCAGTCCTGGCACTCGTAGGGCCGCTCCCCGGTGTGCGTGCGCTTGTGCGCTATCAGGTGGCAGCTCCGGCCGTAGGCCTTGCCGCACTCGTCGCACTTGTAGGGCCGCTCGCCGGTGTGCACCCGCGTGTGGATCTTCAGGGCCGACAGCGTGCGGAAGGCGCTGCCACACTGGCTGCAGTCGAAGGGCTTCTCCTTGAGGTGGGTCCGCGCGTGGCTCCGGAGGGCCGACGGGTCGTTGAAGGCCTTGCCGCAGTCCCGGCACGCGTAGGGCTTCTCCCCGGTGTGGATCCTCCGGTGCCGCGTGAGGGAGGCGCTGGTGGTGAAGGCTTTCTGGCACTGGTGGCACTCGTGCATCTTCCGCCCGTCGTAGGCGGCCCCGCGCTGCGAGAGGGGCGCCCGGGCTTTGAAGGCCACGCCGTAGCTGTGGCGGGGAAAGGGCCTCTTGCCTGCTTGCCTTCCCAGCTGCTGCGAAAGGTGAGCACCCATGCTGAAGACGTCAAACAAGCGCTCATATTCGGCCGACTTCTCCCCAAGGCGAGCTCTGTCCTGTGCCTGAAACATAGAGCTGACTGGCATCCCCCGGGTTCTCTACAGTCTCCTCCCTCCCCGCCCTCTACAATGCTAGCAGCACAGCCCTGCGGCCAGAGACGCTACGATCTGCTCTTCCTGTCTCCTTTGAGGGCGACCAAAGAGAACACAGGAACGCTATACCATAAGGCTCCATGTGTGTTCCTTACAAAGTATTTTTGCATACAGTTTGCTCCATGTTTAAAACCAAAATGAAGCCAGGTGTGGTGACACATGCCTGTGAATCCCAGCTACTTGGGAAGCTGAGGCAGGAGGATACTAAGCTCTAGGCTAGCCTGGGAGACCTGGCAAAAACCCTCTGGCAAAATTTTAAAAAAAAAATAAGGGGAAGGGGTTGGGATATCGCTCAGGGGCAGAGCACTTGCCTAGTACATGCAAGGCCCTGGGTTCAATCCCTAGTACCACACACACACACACACACACACAACACCAAACTGAACACTAACACTGAGTGTCTAAGTTATGGAACAGAACTCTCAGGTGAAGAAGTCCCAGGCTAGGTTTACGATTTTGTCTCAATTGACAATACAGTTAGCCCGCAGTATCTTTGGTTTCTGTATCCAGATTCCAACCAACCATGACCTCAAAATATTTGAGGAAAAAAAATTACTGCATCATGTACTGAATGTGTACTTACTTTCTTCTTGTGATCATTCCCTATACAAAGAACTACTTACATATCATTTGTAATGTTATTATTTACAGGGAATCTAGAGCTAACTAAAAAGCCTATGGAAAGGTACATGTAGGTCCGATGTAGAAAACATGCCATTCTAAAGAAGGGACATGAGCATTTTCAGACATTAGCATCTGCCAGTGGAACTAACCTCTGCAGGTACCAAGGGACCATGGTACTCAAGAACAGTGGAAAACTACAAAATGCTTCCTCTCGGGGAGCCCATATGCCTCGTTCTCATGTGCTTTTCTTCGTTCTTTTTCTTTTTTTGGCAGTACTGGGTTCTGAACCTCCAGAAACTGAGCTACATCCCCAGCCCCTTTTATATTTTTATTCTCAAGTCACCCAGGCTGGGCTTGAACTCACAATACTCTGCCTCAGGCTCCCAGAGTGTTGGGATTCCAGGCCTGTGCCACCATGCCTGGTTGTGACACTGCTTTTCCAACTATAACTGGCCCAGTCTTCTGTAACATGGAAAATCTACAATTATTTTAAGGAAATCTTACCATGGTCACACCACCAGATGTTTCCTTCCCAAATATATCTTCCATGAGAATCGACCACTTGGTTTTAGATGGAGTTTCCCAATCTGAAACAAGTTGGAAAAATACTAACTTGCTGGAAAAAGAAAATGGCAGGATGATATGGACAGACAAAGGTAGGTATTTCTGCAGATACTAACCCTAAACAAAAGTAATGCAAAAGGGAAAAAATACATGAGAGCAAAATGATTGTTAACAAAGCTGTTGAGTGAGATAACTAGCAATCATGGGGGAAGATAAAATTTAAATCAATTCAGACTGACACTAATAAGAGTTTTGGGGTTTTGGGGTTTTTTTGAGACAGGGTCTATGTAGCCCAGGCTGGCCTCAAACTCATGGCAATACTCACTCCTGCCTCAGCTGGGATTACAGGCATGCACCACCACGCCAGGCTGATAACAAGAGTATTATCAGGAAGTTCTCATATAAAAGGATGGAACAAAGAGCCCAGGTGGAAACACAGTTCAAAGATAAAGGGGCATACAGACTGAAGGACTTGTGAGAAAACGGACAGCAGTAAGAGAGAGTGCATTTTCTAACATCCCTGGGTGCAGTTACCTAAAGTACCTCCCTGCTAAGATCTGGAGGTCATTTGTCTCTCAGGGGTTCACATGTTGGAGGCGTGGTCCTCAGTGTGGTGTGGTCTGGTGTGAGGGGATTAGATCACTGGGGTGGTGCCCTCAGATGAGTCAATGCTGGTCTCCCCAAGTAGCCAGTCCTCACAAGAGTGGGCTGTTAATGAAGACAGGAAGACCAGCCCCTCCTTAGTCTCTGGCTTCTTGTCTCACCATGGGGTCTCTCCCTCTCGGATATGCTCACACCACGTTGACTTCTGTCATGCTCATTAAGTGAGAGAAGCTTCCTAGGACTCCATGATTGTGAACTAAATATACATAAGCCCTGTTCTTTCCACATTACCCAACCTCAGACATTTTGTCAGAGAAAAAGTAAATGGGCCAGAACACTCTCTCCACTCCAATCACTGGCTAGGGCTGAAGTCAGAAGCACTTCTATCTATCTGCCTGCTGCTCATTGTGTTGGTCAGCTTCCCATCGCTGTGACCAAATAGCAAAGGAAAACAACTGAAGGAGGAAAGGTTTATTCTGGATCACAATTTCTGATGTTTCAGTCATTGGTGAGCTGGCTCAATTGTTTTTAGGCCTGTGGTAAGGCAGAAACATCATGGTGGAAGAAAGCTGCCCACCTCCTGGCAGCCAGGAAGCAGAAAAAACCTGGAGTGGAAGGAGGTGGGGACAGAATATACCCTTGAAAGCCACTCCCTTGAAAGTGCCCTGCTTCATCCAATTAGGCTCCACATCTGAGTAGGCCCAGTTAGCTAATAAATTCATCAGTGGATTAATCTACTTGGTGAAGTTAGAGATGCCATGATCTAATCAGCTCTGAACACATGAGACTTCTGGGGGGACATTTTTAGATGTGAACTGTAACATTCGCTCACCTGGACAAGCCCCTTGCTGAGTCCCCCTCTCCTCCATCCTGGGCTCCTCTTCTTGCTCCAAGTGAGAGATGAGGCTGGGTTTTCCAACCTGATACCCTACTCACGGGGAAAGACACATGTTGAGGGAGGACCGTGCAGAGGACAACCCCTTCCATTAGTCTGGGGTCAACATTTTGGTCTTCGGGGTTCTGAAGATAGACAAGTTTGACTTTTTGTTTGAGCAGCAAAATGATGGTTTCACATTTCTAAAGAACACAGTAAAAAGTCTTTCATAAGAAACAAAACCTCGAAAGCCCATGCATTTTTACCCTCCAAATGAATGGGGATTTTTTTTTTTTGGGGGGTGGTGATGGTGCTGGGGGTGAAACCCAGGGCCTTGCACACCCTAGGCAAGTCCCCCACCACTGAGCCACATCCCAGCCCGAGAATGAGATTCTTTATCTCAGAAACCTGTGCCTAAGTTCAAACTCACTGAGAACCACCAAGGTCAATGTGATGAGTAGCTCTCAACACCCCCAGGCAACATTAGGAAGGTGGGCCCATCTCTACCTGTTCTCACCAATGTCACAAACCCCTGACTACTTAGACCAAAATAGCTGATTCCGGTCGAGCAACTGGAGACCTGAGGCCAGGCTTACCCAGGGAGGTCAGGTTGCTGTAGTTCTCCAGCATCACGTCTCTGTACAGTTTCCGCTGAGAGGGATCCAGGAGGGGCCACTCCTTCTCAGTGAAGTCCACAGCCACGTCCTGGAAAGTCACAGATTCCTGAAATACCACACAAATTTGGGGTCAGGGACAACCCAGTCTCCTGGTGTTCACAGGAAGGTGGTGTGAGACACTTGATGCAGGCTGTCCAGGGGGTGTATGTGGGTCTCAGCAGCTACTCCAGATGTCCCCGGACAACCCTTTCTCCCTAGGGGGTGGCCAGGCCCCATCCCCTCACTTCAAATGCCATTGGACAAGGTACCAAGTCCTGCTCTACTCTAGCCTCATCTGAGAGCATCAGCTTTATTTTCCTGTCTCCAGGGAGGAACATGGGGGGACCTGAACAAGCACAGGAGAGACACCTGGTGCATAAATACTTCCTCTGACCTCCCGGATGGCAGGACAGCTGTGCAGTACTCCTTGGTTCCCTTCTGGGCCCTGGATGAAGATCTGGGAAAATTCCAACCTGTGTCACTAGGGGCCTTCTAGGAAGTGAATGCACCAACCACTCTAGGGCCCTGAGATCCCACGTACCTGATTAGAATCTCTGGCTCCTGGGAGAGGCTCCAGACCATGCCACACAAACAGGTTTAAGTCCTGGGAACAGGAATGGTGAGTTGAAGAAAGAGGGAATTCTGACTCTTGGAGACAGGCAGGGTCCTGGGTGGACACAGCTAGAGAAGAAGAGCCATGAGAAACAGTTGCCCCCCCACCGACTGTGAGTGTGCACATCCCCAAACAACACACACACAGAGACACACGTTAATCAATACCAGAGCAAGGAGCCAGGCATGGTGGCCCATGCTCGTGATCCCAGCACTTAGGAGGCTGAGGCAAGAGAACTGCCAAGAATTCAAGGGTGGACTGGACTACATAGCAAGATCCTGTCTCAATCAACCAATCAATCAATCAATCAAATAAACCAGAGCAGCCCAGCTCTACTCAAAAGACGAAAAAGGAGGTAGCCTATATCCCAACAAGAAGCAATACACAGGTTGAGTATCCTTTACCAAAAATAGGACCACAAGTACTTTGGATTTCAGATCCTTTCGGGTTTGGGAATATTTGCACAGATATAAAGAGCTATCTTAGGACGGGGCCCAGTCGAAACACAAAATTCATTCATGTTTCACAGCTGTCTTACACACCTGATGGTGATGATACAGGGTATTCTCAATGTGCTGAGTTTGGATCACAACCCTCCTAAGAAGTCAAGGGTTAAATCTCCCCAACTGTGGTGTCAGATTTTGGATTTGGGGGTTAGGGTTGCTCAATCTGTGTCCAGTTTTAATTCCCGAGTGAAGAAACTGAAGTCTGGAGGGCCCACCCTCAAATTCATCAAAGTAAGAAATAAAACGAGGTTGCCCGCCATCCCTCTGCTCACCTACCTGCTAAGTTAGCTCTCCCTGAACCAGGCATCCGGTGCTCCTGGCACTCTGCAGCTCACCTGGCCTGCCACGGCAGCCGCCCTGTGGCTGCACGGCTCCTTTCATGGGACAAACCACAGGCACCACATCCACTCAGTTTCTAGGAACAAGAACTTAAAGACTCACCACAGGTGGGAGACAGCCCAGGAGCTGCCATCCTGGGAGGACGACGTCAGCCAGGCACCAGGTGACCCAGGAAGCTACTGTCCTGCTCTCACGGGCCTCTCCGAGCTGGCGCCTGTGATAGATGAAATGGGACCAGGGACATCAAAGGCTCTCCTGCTGAGGGCAATTCTGTTTGGTCTGGGGCAGTTCTTCTTCTAAGTAGCAAGACCTGTGACCTGGCCATCATCTCATTTAGCTAAAACCTCTAAGTCCTGAGGCAGAAAGTCCCTGACTAGCCTCAAACAAAATCCAGACTTACTCTCCACAAGTCATGTGTCACTAGGCACAACTCTGTTAACTCCTCCACTCGTAAAGCACACTGACCCCCGGCCTCAAGAGCTTCCTCTCACCTTCAAGGCTGCCACGGCAGAGGATGGCTCTATCCACAAGGATGGTCCATCTGGGGCCATAAGTTCTAGTCCTCAGACTGTGACCCACACTCCACACCACCAAACACAGCCAGGGGCACAGCCTAGACCTCATCACAACTGGAATCAGCCTCACTCCCAGACAATGACTGGGAAATCTGTTCCCCCCGGCTGAGGGTATGGCTCAGTGGTTGTGTACTTTCCCAGCACATGTGAAACCCTTGGGATGGATGGATGGATGGATGGATGGGTGGATGGATGCAAGGGTAATGGAGGGTGGGTGAGTGAGTGGGTGGGTGGATGGATGGGTGGGCAGATAGGAGTGAGGAAGAAAGAGAGAGAAATCTATTCTCTGGACAAAGAGCTTTCTCCTCCCATTACTTCCCCCACTTAAGAGAGAACTCTAGGCTATGCTTCTGCCATCTTGCTAACAGACACCTCCTCTTCCCACTGCTCCTGCTTTCCAGCTAAGTTGACTCTGTCACTTCTACCATGTATCTGGGGAGGGGGAGAGAGATGAAGGGAAGGGGAAATAAAAAGAAATCACGTGTTATAGTTATGTACCAACTTCCCCACGATGAATATGACCCTTATATATTGCAAACATGGACTAATAAAAATAAAAATTTGAAAGCAAATTATTTGTCTAAGTTAATCTTTCAGCTTATTGAAACTCCTAACCAAGGAAAAGCCCAGCCCTGGATGATTCATTCCAACCCTCTGCAACCAAGCAGCACACAACCAGTTAGTCACACCAGTGGCACAGAACCTCAATGGTGCTAAAGTGGACCAAGCAAAGCCATCAGGTCCAGTGTCCTGGAGACAGGCTCACTATTGCAGAGAGGTAAGTTAATTAGATATCTTGTAGGCAGTTAGACAGGGCCAGCCCATGAGGAGCCAACATGGAGGATGGTCAAAAAGCCAACATGGAGGACAGTGGAGATACATTCACTGAAGGCCAAAATCGTAAAAGAAGAGAAACTACCACATCCATTTAGGATGAATAGCAGTAATTGATATTCTTTTTTTTTTGGTACCGGGGATCGAACTCGGGACCTTGCGCTTGGGAGGCAGGCGCCCGGAACCACTGAGCTAAATCCCTGGCCCTAGTAATTGATATTCTAAATAGATACCAAGGTCTTAACCCAGCCTTTCCAGGAAATATCCCTGACCCCCACCCTTACTGAAAATCCTTATATGCTTTCTACATGTGACTTGCTCCCCCATTTAATCACTATTACCTGAGTGACTGTACTTGTAGTCTTATTGGTTGGTCATGGTTTTGTGCCACCTTATGCCCTTTATAAATTTCCATTGGGTCTTACAGTTTTGTCCCACTTCGTACCTGCCTCACCACATGGCTCTGCTGTATAAAACATCTTTGAAACGTGGGGTGAGCGGGCAACCCACTTTCAGGTCCCCCTTCTGTCTCTCTTAGGCAGAAGCTTTCTTTCTCCCAATAAATTTTTCCTACTCTTAACCTCCGCTGTTCCTAGAATTCATTCTTCCATTTTAGAGAACACGAACTCACGTTTCGGATATCTAGTAGGTTTGGAATTTACATCTCTTCCCTGTATCACCAGTTTCTGAATTAAAAACTTTTCTTACCATTACCTTGACTTTCAACAAGTAATTTCAATTTCACATTTTACTCTACCATAAACAAAACAAAAAAACACACCTTGACTAACTGGATAATCATCAAAAAACATTTGGCCTTACAATAGCATATATCAACTACCCAGAAATAAATGAAGTAGCCAGGTTTGGTGGCACATGCCTGTCATTGAAGCTACTTGGGAGGCTAAGGAAGGAGGACTGCAAGTTCAAGACCAGTCTGACCAACTCTGCAAGACAGTGTCTCAAATATTTTTTTAAAAATTGAAAAGGGGCCGGGGGAGTAGTTCAATATTCCCTGGACTCAAACTATGGAACAGAGGAAGGACAGAAGGGAGAGTAGAGGAGGAGGAAGAGAAGAAAAGAAGTGCAAAACCTTGACAATAAAAACTACAACATACTACTGAATCAAAGTAAAGACCAAAAACAATGGGAAGGTGTACGTATCATTTTCATGGACTTCAAGATTCAGTATTATTAAGTTACTCATTGCCTCCAATTTCATTTGCAGATAAAACAGTCTCCACCAAAAGCCAAATAGGTATTTTTTTTAAACTGACAACCTAAACCTAAAGTCTATGTTTAAAATCTAAATCTAAAATCTGTTTTAAAAAAAGAAACTTTAAACAATTTTTTTTTCAAAAATGCTGAGGATATAGCTCAGTGGTAGAGCACCTGGCTAACATGAACCAGGCCCTAGGTTAAATCACGAGCACTGAAAAAAAATTGAAAAAGAGAAACTTACAAACTTTGACTCCATTCTTACTATGGGCACAAGATCTATTGGTTCATTTGTTTTCAGACAGGCTCTCACTATGTCGCTCAGGCTGGACTTGAACTCACTGTGTAGTCCAGCCTGGCTTTGAACTTGAGGTGATTCTCCTGCCTCAGCCTCCTGAGTGCTGAGATGACAGTCGTATGCTACCACACCCAGCTGTATAATCTATTCTGAATTTCTAAAAACCTCAAGTCAAAAATTAGTATTTACAGAAAATATTTTCATTACCTTGATTTACACAGTTATCTGTCTACACTCAAATCACACACACACACACACACACACACAATCATAGCCAGGTGCAGTGCTGTATGCCTGTAGTCCCAGCTACTGGGGAAGCTAAGACAGGAGTTCAAGGTCAGCAAGTAAAAAAAGAAAAGCAGACAGACAGAAAGGTGAGAGATTAGGGTCTCAAAGTTATACTAGCACCTCCACATTCACAAGTGCATTCTTCTCAACAGCCAAGAGGTGGAAACAACCCAAATCCACCAAGAGAAGGATAGAAGATAAAATGCAATGTATGCATGTGATGGAAGGTTACTTAGCCTTAAAAGGAATGAAATTCTGAAACATGCTACAGTGTGCATGAACTCTGAAGATATGAAGCTATTATGCCACCTAAAATAAGCAAGACACAAAAGAGTAGGTATTTTATGACTCCACTTACATGAGTTCCTAGTGTGGTCAGATTCATAGAAAGTTGAAGGGTTTGTCAAGGGCTGTAAAGAGAGGAAAAGGGGGTTAATGTGGAATGGTGGGAAGTTCTGAAGATACATAGTAGCAATGGCAACAAAAGGTGAAAGTACTTAATGCCACTTCACTGTGTCCCTCCCCACCAGGGATCGAACTCAGGACCTTGCACTTTGGAGGCAGGTGTGGCACCACTGAGCTAAATCCCAGGCCCCTTGTGAGTTTTGTTATCTAAATTTTACTACATTTTTTTTTTCCCTTGAGACAAGGTCTTGCTATGTACTTCAGGCTGGCCTTGAACTCAGTATGTAGCTCAGGCTGGCCTTAAAATGTGCAGATCCTCCTGACTCAGCCTCACCAACGCTAGGATTATAGGAGTGTGCCCCACCACCCCTGGCTTACCATATTTTTTAAACATGTTTTTTAAAAAAGCAGTCAAGATTCTGAGTTCACATAGTTTATTCTTCAAATGGTTTATTTTACCATTTCATCATTTTTATTTTGCTTTATTGATCTCTGGTTTCAATTTCATCAACTGATATTGAATTCTGAAACTAGTGATATCTGATTTGATATGACAAATCAGATTGTGACTGATTTTTTTCATGACACATCATCACTGATCAGCATGAGGCCATCCTTTATATTTACTTCACATATATTAATGGAGCTGCACGCATACTGTTATTTATATCCAGATGTCCCCCAAGAGCCTCCTGTGCCCATCAGGGGGCTTTGGAAGGAGACTGGATGACAGGGCTCACAGCCGAATGTGCTATTAGGAGGCAGGGTCTGATCAAGAGGGGGTCAGCAGGGGCACAGCCTGGGAGGCTTTATCTCCCCACCAGCTCCTTCCTTTCCTCTCTGCTTCTTGGACTTCCAGAATGCAATTTTATAGCTTTCCAACTTGAAAATAAAGGAAACAAGCTATTTAAATTATATGCACACTTGTTAACTTGTGAGTTATCAAACATGTTTCCTACAAATATGAAGACATCAAGTGTAATTTGAAAATGCAAAAAAAAAAAATCACAAGTGAATTAGAAAAATTAAAAGTGCTCTAGAAGCTGAGTACCGCAGTGCACACCCCAGCACTCCGGGAGGCTGAAGAAGGAAGGTCACAAGCTTGGGCCCAGCCTTGGGAACTTAAGTGACTTAGCATTAACCTGTCTCAAAAATAAAAACAAGACTGGGGACGTGGCTCAGTTCAAAGGTCCGGAGTTCAATCCCCAGTACAGCAAGAAAGAAAAAAACCCTCCAAAGGACAATTTATGAAACCACCAGTGCAGTAAGGGGTCAGTGGTCATAGAATTCCTCTCGGTCACTTGTATGGGGGACAAATGACACTGGCTCTGGAGGAATCCAGACCCCATACCACATGAAGCAGGAGGCACTCTTGCATCTCTTTGAACCCCAAAAATAAACCAAAACAACAGGCACCATCAGTACCATCAGAACTGAGGAAACCAGCTCAGTATTTAAGTAACTTGCCAGAGAGTAACACAACAAATGGCAGGGGAGGAAGTGGGCTCCAATGTTTTTATTTTGGCTTGGTTTTTTTATTGTATTTTTTGGTTTTGAGACAGGGTCTCACTATATAGCTCAAGCTGGCCTTGAACTCATGGAGATCCTTCTGCCTCAGCCTCCTAAGTGCTTGCATTACAGGCATGTGCCACCACGCCCAGCTCCAACTTTTTTTTTTAAGGACTCCACCTTCTTTAACTTCGAAGCCCAAGTTCATTCTTTCACTGAGGCAGTGGGAGTAGAGGTTTCTTTGATCAGTATCACCAGAATGAGAAGTGAGACTGAAACAGAATCAAATCACAATACTGTCACAATCCACTGCTAGAATACAGTGGACTCGTGGCAAACATCAGTTCCTTTCCCTTTCCCCTTATTCAGTGGGAAGAAACACACAAATGCTGACCACCACTCACTGATCTCGCAGAACCAGCAGTTACGTCCCCAGCTGAGATCAGGTGCTGCCACCTTATGGACACTAAGAGGCACTGCGGGCCTAGGGAAGACGGGTCAGTTCCTATCAGTTTCAAGGGGTTCTTAAACTAAAAGCTTTTTCCCAGTCAGTGTCCTTGGCATCCAACTCAATCAGGGATGACAGGTCTGTTCCCAGTGGCTCACCGTCACCACTCTCAGTCCCACTCATAAGTCTCATGTGTCACACCTCCCGTCCTTCCTTGCCAACAACGATCCCAACACTACCATGCCAACACGCGCAGCGCTAACATGGGGACCACGGGGCCACTGCTTTAACCTTCCCAGCTGCCTAGTCAGGATCAGCACCGCCCTGGGTTAAGTCATGGGTCACAGGTTATAGGTTGTGAGCCCCACTCACCCGACTCTAGAGCCACAGGTTACCCGTGTCACCTCTATAGCCCCCGTTCATGAACTCCTTGACACTAACTTTTGTTTGAGCCAATTTTGCTAACATAAGCTAGGCTCCCTGGAGATTATCCCTGCCTCAGCTTCACAAGTGCTAGGATTACAGGCATGTTCCACCAAGCCAGGTGATACCAATTCTTATTTTTGGTTTTTTGAGACAGGGTCTCATTACGTAGCCCTGGCTGGACTTGAACTCTCAGCGATCCTCTCTGCCTCAGCCTCCTGAGTCCTGGGATTACAAACCTGCGTCGCTAGCCCTGGCCCCAGTTCCTCTTTCAAGACTCCTCTTGTTCCTGATCCTTACCATTCTGCCTGCCCAAGGGTCATGATTGCCCTGGGAGTGTCTCTACTCCACCTGCACACATCCACACCCTGAAATCTAGCACCTATGAGTGCTAGCACCCTGGTTTCATGACACTTCCATGAAGGCTGGCTCCTGCCTGCCCCGGCCCCAGGTGACCAATCACACTGAAAGCCCAGAGCTCTCTCCACTGGGGTCCCTGCTCAAGTAGGTTCAGTTATCTGGATATTGAAGATTTCATGACTGGATTATGGGATTCTGTTCTCATTGAACTTTCACTCTTACTACAATTTACATCATATTCAAGCCAGACACGGTGATGCATCCCTGTAATCCCAGCATCTGCGGAGGCTGCTGAGGCAGGAGGATTCCCAAGAGTTCAGGGCCAGCCTGGACTACAGAACGAGACTCTGTCTCAAAAAAAAAAAAAAGAAAAGAAAAAAGAGGCTAGGTAGCAGGCCATGGTAGTACACACCTGTAATCCCAGCACTCAGGAAGCTGAGACAGGAGGATCACTGGGAGTTCGAGGCCAGCCTGGAATACATAGCAAGACCCTGTCTTAAACGAATGAGTGAATGAATGAATGAGTATTGATGCATGTCTGTAATTCCAGAACTGAGAAGCTGAGGTAGGAGGATTGCAAGTTCAAGCCCAACACTGACAAATCAGCATCTCAGTGAGAAACTGTCTTGAATAAAAAATAAAATTTAAAAATAAAAAAATTAGAAGGGGTGGAGATGTACTTCAGCATGAAGGCCCTGGGTTCCACTGCTGGTAAAAGGGCTGAGGATTTAGCTCAGCAAGGGGCCCTGGGTTCAATACTGACCCACAGGTCACGCCAGCTTCTCAGGCACTTTGCCATGAACGCCCAAATCTCCCACCCCATCACCACTGAGCCCCTAACTGACCAACCTCTCCTCTTCCTGTAGTCCTCCCGAGCTCCCATCCCCACCTCATGGTGCTCCCCGCAATCAGCCAGGCAGCTGTGACAGTGCAGGCGACAGGCTGGGGTTGCTTCTCCATGATGGAGCCGCCAGAAGCCCTCGTGGGCATTCCCCAGATGTCCAAGGGTCTGGTTCTTTGTGCATTCAGGTTTAGCCCCCGGGGAAGGGATGTCACCATCTTCTCCCTCACCCTGTCTAGTGGTATTACTCAGACCAGAATGCCCAGTAAAGGCTGAAGAAGAAGAGAAGAGAAGAGGAGGAAGAAGAAAAACCAGGATGCCATGTGGCTTCAAAGGCAAGGAAACAGTAGCTTTAAAACACCCCAAAAGGCACCAGACAAATGGTTTTTCCAGGTACTGCTCCATTTTGAGAAACAAACACTTGTATTCTTAAGCTTATTACTCTAGATCTTAGAAAAAAAAAAAACAGGTTCCCCATCCTGTTTTATGAAGGTGGCATAAACCTGCAAAAGAAATCTTCACTCAAGTACAGACCCAAAGTCTCCAAAGTAATAGCAAACTGAAGCCAAAAATGACAAAACAGTAAGTATCCTTTCCAAACAAGGTATTTAACAACACAAATTTAATGTAACAGGAGGAAATCCATGGTTTAATTCCACCATACTCTGGAATAAAATAAAAACAATTTCTTTTTACATTATATTATTTTTTCATTCATTCAATACACAAGCAATACTGAATTCCTATCAAAAGTCAGGCAGGGTGAGGGATTTGGCTCAGTGGCACCATGCCTGCATTGCAAGCACAAGGTCCTGAGTTTGATTCCACATACCAAAAACAAAATAAAACAAGTCAGGCATCATACAAGGTGCCTGAAATTAATTAAATAACATATGGAAGTAGACAGTGAAAAAAATTCATTTGTTAAAAGCCTGCAGCAATTTACAAGAAAAACTTTTAAACTAGGAAAAAGGAGCTTCCTAATAGAAATTATCTTAGACAGAAAAACTTGCAGCAAATTCAAAAGTTAATTCTCTTTAAAGTTAGGAAGGAAACCGAAATGCCTAGGGTCTGCTCTTTAAGCTCTCAATGATCATGTAAGCCCCAGCCTGCCCAGCAAAGAAAGAAAATTGAAAATAAGGACAGTTCAATGAAAAACAAATATATTTATTTATTTTACAGATGATGAAACTATCTCTGAAAAGCATCCAGAAGATAATACAAAAATTAAGAAGATTAAGGACTTTCTTTTTTGGAACAAGGTCTTCGTATGCAGCGTAGGCTTCCTCCTGCCTCAGCCTCCTGAATTACAAGCATATGCCACCATGTCCACCTCAAGAATTAAGTACTAAAGAGAGCATGCTCAATCCAAATTCAAAAGATAAATCAGTAAGAAAATGTGATTAAAAGCACCAAAGGACAAAATTCCTAGGGGGAAGAAAAAGGGGATATAAAAAAATAAGATGTGTCATATAAATGAACCAATACCTACAAAGCAAGTAATCATTATGTATCACAAATGTGTGCTGATAAAAAAATTCCTAGAAATAAATATAACAAAAAAATACCTTAAATCTTTTTGGCTGGTACCTATAAAATTTTACTGAAAGGAAATATACCAGGTATAAATAAAAATATAATTTAATTAATGGTTGGGCCGGGGATTTAGCCCAGTGGTTTCACCACCTGCTACACAAGCCCAAGGACCAGAGTTCGATCCCCGGTACCAAAAAAAATAAAATAAAATTCGTAATTTAATTAATGGTAAAACTCACTGGCATAAAAATTTCAATATTCTCAGATGAAATTACTTCAACATTTAGGTCCATTCATAAATCACTACCAAACAAAAAAATTTAAAAATATAAATAAATAAATAAATAAATAAATCACTACCAAAATTAAGGAACAAGTTTTGGGAAAAACATATTAAGCAGTAAAATCCACTCAAAAATCATGGGAGAGAAGAGGGTGCAGTGTAAGAGCACATAGCCTTTTCAGGTTTAAAATTGTCCTTCTTTGTCTAATTCGTGGATTTATCATTGTTCTTTTTAACTTCGAATCTGTGAGGCCACACTTTTGTTTTTATATGTATCTCTTACTTTCCAGTTAAAAATTACCTGAAAAATTGCAAGTAGGAAATCCCGAGTTCGATCCCCGGTAACAAAAAAAAAAAAAAAGTACCTGAAAAGGACCAGGGATTTAGCTCAGTGGCACCGTGCCTGCCTCACAAGCGCAAAGTCCTGAGTTCCATCCCTGGTACACAAAAAAAAAAAAATCTGAAAGAAAAAGAATAAGCAGCCCAAAGTAAGACACCAAAACATTAGTATCCATACTATTATTGAATTATCTCTCCAGTTAAATGAAAATGTTAACTACTGGGCATGGCGGTGGACACCTGCGATTCCAGCACTCGAGACTGAGACTGGAGGACCAGCGAGTTCGATGGCATCCTGGACCACACTGGGAGTTCAAGGACGGCCTGACTGCATAGCTACACCCTGTCTCAAAAATTGAAAATTTAAAACTTTATGGGCCTGGGGTTTAGCTCAGTGGTTTCGTCACCTGCTATGCAAGCGCAATGACCCGAGTTCAATCCCCGGTAACAAAAAAAAAAAATTAAAACTTTAAAACTTGACACAATGTCAACGTGAATTTTAAATCTTAGTTTTTTAAAGTCGACTTTTAAATCTTTTTATTAAAAAGAGAAAAAGCTGGGCGTGGTGGCGCACCCCTGTCATCCCTGCAACTCGGGAGGCAGAGGCAGGATAGCAGCGAGTTCACATAATGAGTTAAGACCAGCCTGAACTACACAGCGAAAGCCTGCCTCAAAAAAATCAAAATTAGCAATAAATAAGATAAATCTTATAGACTGACACCAGAATGTCAACTAAAATTAACAAAAGAAGTGCACCAAAGATTTAACTTAAAACTATAAAAAGTTCAGAGTACATGTTAAGCAAAAGAAAACCAGAGCCATAATAATAGTGTGTTACAAGACAAAACTCAAGCGGGTACAGAAGGAAAGTGGCGCGCCCTCGCTCTGCCCAACTCCTGCCGCCCCTTGCCCGCAATCTGCACAACTCAGCCGGGCTTTTCCGACCGGAACCCAAGGACTTTTCTCACCAAACGCAAGAGCTGAATTTCAGTTCTCGCGTGAAGAGCATTTCACACAGCTGGTCGTGGAATCTAACACGTACTCTCGCCCTGACCCCCTGGCTTCCGACCTCCTCACTTCTAACCCCTTACGCCGGCTTCGGGGCCCTCTGGAGTCCTCAGGGACCCTGGGTGTAAAGGATTAAGAGAGGAAAGCGGGGCTTACAGGACAGGGATACAACCGAGGGAGCGGAGGTCTCGGAAGCTGCGGCTGAAGGACGATAGAGTCATATGGAAGCCCCATATGCTGCGGGGAAGTGGAAGGCCCCCACCAGGTAGAAGGGAGGCGCGGTAGACCTCTCCTTTGCCCATGTGTCTCACTCAAGTCGCCTCCGGAGAGTAATGGCTTCCGCTTCACTTCCGCCTTCTAAATCTCGTAAGATCTCATTGGACGGCTCTAACTCGGAAGCGAGAGCCCAGAGGATGCTGGGACATGTAGTTCATCGTCCGTGAGGAACCATGGTAGTTATGCCCACGTGAACTGTAACGGTCCACCACACTTCCCCAACTTCTAGTAGGCATTTAACAGGGACTTAGAGATTGGGCCTGAAGAGGCTCAGTGGCAAAATAAAAAGGATGAAGCTAGGCATCTCTGCCTTCATCTGGTATTGTCTCCTTTATTACCTTAAAAGATTGGGTCAGATACCTGCTCAGCTTTGCCTGTGGGGATGTTAATCGCTTAAGCAGAGCCTGTCTGGTTTCTGGAGCCAGAGTTTTGCCTCTTAAAGCTGTGAAAACGGTCAGTGGCCACGCTTTCAGAAGCTTTATGTCTATGTAAATGAGTATCCCTGTGTTTACCTCAATGCTGCTTCAGCCGTAGAAATGACAACTCAGGATATGTCCTTGTTCAGATAAACACTTTACAGGTGTTTAAGGACCCTAAGAAAATAACAAAATAGAGTGCCCTGTGAGAAGGCCTATGGAGGGTCAGTGATGCGGGCCTATAAAGGAATTTATCAACAGCCAAGGACGGTACAAAAGACAAGAGTTTATTTAGAGCAGGCTACACTGCCAAAGGAGACAGTGTACAGGTTTCCAAGAGAGGAATCCTGGGGGTTTTTATGAGGGTTTGCAGATATGGAAAAAAGATCTGGGCTGCACATGTGATTACCTAAAGAATGTCTTTTTCCTGGATCATCTGGCATCTTTCAGACCTTTCAGGAGCACCTGTATTGAGTTTAAAATTACATGTTTCCAATTCCATCAAGGTCACTTTTCTCTGGCCAAGAGATCTTTGGCTTTGGATAAGAATGAGACCTGTGCATATCTTTTAGAGAAAGATGGGTTCGGACTCTTTAGGAGGAATGAATGGGCCTTACTACAAAGATTTGATGCTGTCTTGGACTGCTAGGGAGAGCTGGTTGATTGCACTTCCTTTGTTAAGGGTTTTGGCCAGAGTTTGTCTGTTAAGGGTTTTAAGCCTTTTCATTGCCAATGGGTGTCTGCTACAAAGAGTGATGTATCTGGAGTTCACAATTATGACAAAACCGAGCCTGTGTATATTAAAGAAATGGCTTTAAAACTAATAACAAATGGCAGAGGAGTGAGACCACCCAAGTAGGCTAGTGAAAGCAAAGAGGTTCACCTAGGCAGAGACAGACTGATGGCAAGCGAAGAGACCATCAGCCCTGAACAAAGAAAAAGTAGAAGGGGCTGGGGATTTAGCTCAATGGCGCTGCCACCCCTGCCTCACAAGCACAAAGGCCTGAGTTTGATTCCCGGTACGGCAAAAAAATAAATAAATAAAAATAAAGAAATTAATTTAATTAAAAAAGAAAAGAAACAAGGCAGACAGCCTTATAAGGATTTAGAAGAGAGGTCTGGCACATCTGTCACATATGGGGGACCCAAGGCTATTTTCAGGTGGATATTGTCAGGTGACCTGGCATTTACAAGAGGCTGTAATTTGTAGCTGTTATCTCTATGCTGGGAACATCCCATCCTGTGTTCCGTGTTCTGTCCACTCCAAGGTATCAAGGCTTTGGTCAGGCAGAGACAGCACCTGCATCGGCTGCCTGTTTTGTTGTGGTTTTTGTATCTTGTAGCTTGGAATTAAAGAGCATATTCATTCATTATTTCACAACCAGGTCAAGTCTGACAATAATGTACTCCGTGTGTGTGTGTGTGTGTGTGTGTGTGTGTGTGTGTGTGTGTGATATTGGGGACTGAACACTGGGCCTCTGCACTGAGCTATTTCCCCAAATCTTTTTTTACTTTTTTTACTTAATGACACTGTCCCGTGAAGTCACTAATTTGACCAGGCTGAGCTTGAACTGGCCACCCTCCTATTTCAGTCTCCTAGAGTGCATGGTGCTGCCATGCCCAGAAAAGATACTTCTCCGTCATGTGTGAAAGGTTTCTTTTTGATAATTTGAAAGAACTGATGAGGCTATATTATAGGTAGCTAAGTTAGGTAAAAACATTCTAGGCAGTCAGACAGTGCTAGGCCCTCGAGGAAGTCAGTGCAGAGGATAAAAGCACATTAAAACTGGCTAGAGGTGCATGTATTGAATGGTAGGCTTCAAGATAAAGACAGACAGCCGGGTGTGATGGTGCACACCTGCAATCCCATCACTCAGGAGGCTGAGGCAGGAGGATCACTGTGAGTTCGAGGCCAGCCTGGGCTACATAGTGAGTTCAGGCCAGCCTGAACTACAAAGAGAGACCCTGCCTCAAACCTCCTCCTAAAAAAAGATAAAGACAGAATGATCAGGCCTACATGCCTCCCCAAAAGATAAGCAGTAAATTGAAGATGATACTCACTTGGTCCATTAAAATTTAGATAGATATCAGTCACCCTGGTGAGTGACCAAGACCCCCTGATTCACCTCTTCCTAAAAAAGTCCTTGTTCTTTCAATATACACTTGCTACATGACCTGCTTCCCCATTGGGCCAATGTTACCTAAGCAGCTAAACTTGTAATCTTATTGGTTGAACATAGTTTTGTCCCACATTGTGATTTTGCTTTAAAAAACTTCCTCTCTAAAGTGGGTTCCATGGCAACCCACTGTCAGATCCCCTCCTGTCTCTCAGGACCTAGCTCTTTCTCAATAAATATTTCCTACTCTTAACCTCCATTGTTCCTTAGAATTCATTCATCGATTTTGGGGAACACAAACTCAGCATATCTAGCTGTTTGGGAGTTATATTTATATCCCCTATATGAGCTACAGTGCAATCAGTTTAAATGCAAGACTTGAAATTGTCATTTTGTTTTTAATTTTAATTTAATTTAATTTTCATTTTGCTGTGTGGCTCAGGCTGGCCTCAAACTTGCTATCGTAGCCTGGTGTGGTGACATTCACCTATAACTACAGCATTCTGGGAGGCTGAGGCAGGAGAATTACAAATTAGAGCCCACTCTGGGCACTTTAGAAACTTAAGGAGACCTTGTCTCAGAATAAGAAAGGATGAGGGTTGTAGCTCAATATGAAAACCTTGGATTCAATCCCCAGTACAGAAAGAAAGAAAGAAAGAAAGAAAGAAAGAAAGAAAGAAAGAAAGAAAGAAGGAAGGAAGGAAGGAAGGAAGGAAGGAAGGAAGGAAGGAAGGAAGGAAGGAAGAAACCTAGCTAGCATAATGGTTCACCCCTATTATCCCAGCTACTTGGAGGCAGAGGCAGGAGGATCACAAGTTCCAGGCCAGACTGGTCGATTTAGGGAGACTCTGTCTCAAAATACAGTAAAACAAGAGGGCTGAGGCTGTCAGTCACTGGTACCAAGAGACTCAGGGTTCAGTAGCAACTGGATTGTGTTCTGAGTGGAGGGAAAAAGGACAGAATTTATAAAGGCAAAAATCAAAACTATACCAGTTTTGCAGGAGTTATGATTGGTAGAGGCAAATGGCCAGTTTGTAGGTTCCAAAGTCTATGGGTTATCATTCAGCAGTCACAAGTAGAGCATATATTATGGTTTATGTGACTTGGTCCAGTTCAGAAATATTTAGGTGACGATGTGCATATGGCCCACTCTTTCAGTCGCTCCCCAGCTCTATTTTAGGGACTGAATCAAAGTCCAGCCATTCTGCGATCTCAGTCTTCCCAGATGTAATTTCAAAAGTCCCTGCTGTGTGATTAAAAGAGTATATGGATTCAATGCTCATGTAGGTAGCACTGCCTGTTGGGTAGAGTATGGACTTAATGTGGGTAATGTTTACTAACCCATAACAGCTGTGCAACTTTGGGGACTTCACTTAGATATTCTATGCCTTTCCTTCCCCATCCGTAACATGGGAGCTAAAAATAATTCAATTAAAATAAAAGCTGAGAGGCCGGGGATTTAACTCAGTGGTTCTGCTGCCTGCCTGGCAAACGCAAGGACCCAAGTTCGATCACTGGTACCAAAAACAAAACAAAAATAAATAAATAAATAAAATAAAAGCTGAGGGCCCAAGGATTTAGCTTAGTGGTTCTGCCACCTGCCTGGCAAATGCAAGGTCGCGAGTTTGATCCCCAGTACCAAAAAAATTTAAAAAACAAAAGTTGGCTGTGGTGGCACACACCTGTAACCTTCCCTCCTCGGGAAGCTAAGGCAGGAAGATCATGAGTTCCAGGCCAGCCTGAACTACAACCCTGTCTTCAAAAAACAACAAAAACGTTTTTTAAAGATATATAAAATATATCATATGAAACAAGTCAAGAGAAAACCTCCAGAGAGGTGAGCCAGACACCAGCACCAGCACTTTTAAGCTCAAGAGGGGTCTAAAAGGGAAGCCAGGGTGAACGGTAGGTGTCTGCAGACTGAGGAGGAGTGAAGAGCAACAGTGAAAGACTTCCTTCTTTGGCCTGGGGCCAAAAAGAGCCCTGTCTTCAAAGCAAGGGAGAATTGGAAGAGAGCCACATGGAAGTATGGATAGCATCCTCATTTTCCAAGAAAAAGCTTGCGTGACCACAATGTGTCACTGTCAGAGAAAGTGGACTTGGGTGCACAGACATGCACTGAGATAAGAAAGGTAATTTCAAAAGATAAGGGATCCAGTGCTGCAAGAGCTGACAGTTCTGAATTTCTACTCATGTAACAGTCATTTCATTGAACTAAAGGGAGAAAGAGGCAAATTCAAAAACTACTGTCACCCAGAAACTGGGTGGTCCTGGTTGTGAGGAATGAGCCCTCTCCTTGGTTCTTTGTGCCTTTGATGAAAGAATTCAGTCAAGCCACATAGGCAGCTGTTCAGAAGTACAGGTTGAATTTACTGTAAAGCAGATATAGAGGGATTTACTGTTTAAGTGAGAAGGCAGGCAGTGTCACCTTGACATCTGCACTGAGTGTGAGTCTGGTTATCATTTCATGCACAGGACAGTTACTCCTCACCTTCAGGAAAACATGGTAATTATGATGCTCATTGACCCTTTTTTAGCACCTACACTGGAATTGCAAAATGTCCTCTCTTCCTTTTTAGTTGCTCAGTGTTCCTTCAAGGTCCTTAATTATGTAAGAAACTTACATAATAATTTTGGGGTCCAATGCAAAATGAAAGTGTGGAACCCTTTGTTTAAACT